GCCTGCCCGACCTCAGGCCCGGCACCACCTACCACGTGGAGGTCCACGGGGTGCGGGCGGGGCAGACCTCCAAGTCCTACGCCTTCATCACCACCACAGGTAGCGTGGGCTGGGGCCACGGGACACCCCATGCCTTGTCCAGCCTCACCTGCCGTTGGAGCCTGCATTCATGAGTTCCTCCTGCTGCCACTGGCACCCTTCTACCTTCGGGCGCTACCTGGCCGAGGCTCCAGGGAGCCCCAGGACAAAGCACGAGTCTAGTGTCCCTAGAAGACGTCCCCACCCCCAGGGTCCTGGCATCCATCCTGTGGATGCCTAAGGTCAAGGCAGCCCCTTCTTTGGGGTTCCTGGGACACTTCCAGGATTGCTATTTTAGGCAATAGAGGGGGATGTGGTTGGGGCGCCTGCAAAGGTTCACTGGAGCAGTTTGAGTGGGCTGGGAATTGAAAACAGTGATTCCCGTTCTGACTCACTGTGGTGAGAGTGGCTCAAGACTGTGGTCAGTGGTTACTGTTTTCCACAATTGGGCCTTGACCTTGAAGGGAAACATCAGAACTGCGTGGGGGTGGCCTGGGTGCCATCAGGCAGCAACTGTATGTCGGGGAGGTGAAACCACTGCTTCTTGATCTGGCTTTTCAGACCCTCTGGCTCACTTTATGCTGGTCTCTCCCACAGGAACGATGTCTGGGCTTGGGGAAAGGGCACCCTGTGGCTGCTGTGGGGTGGGTGGTGGACCTCTTCTTCCCCCATAGGGCCCAGATGCCACCTGACCTGGATGTCCACCCCCACGCCCTCTTTCTCTTCCCACTGCCCACTCTCCTCTTGCATCCTCCCTCTCTAACACCACTGTCTTTCTTCCAGGCTTCTCACTGCAGCACTAATGGAAGCCACCTGACCACCACCCAGTGGGGGGGATGTATGTGGGGAGGGACATGGAAGTCTCCAGGGGCTGGAGGTCATGGAAGCCTTGTGGGGTGAGGGACAGCAGGCTTTATTTTATTTATCACCTGCCTGAAGCGCAGGCCCATCTGCTCAGGAATGTGGTAGATGGGGGTGTTTGGAGGACTGGCTGAGCTTTGGGAGGAGGGAGTGGCCCAGGTGATGGAACCAGAAGTAGAAGAGGGTAGGGCCCCACGGCTCTTAAAGGCTAGAGGGCAGAACCTGGGGACTGGGGATTCCTTTCTAATTCTCATACTGGACTCTCCTCTTTTTCTCACCCTGCCCCTTCCCAGGGTCCTCACCCTCGGGCCTCTTGGGGACTACCGATGAGCCTCCTCCCTCAGGCCCCTCAACGACCCAAGGGGCCCAGGCTCCTCTCTTGCAGCAGCGCCCCCAGGAGCTGGGAGAGTTGAGGGTGCTGGGCAGAGATGAGACAGGGCGTCTCCGTGTGGTCTGGACCGCCCAGCCCGACACCTTTGCCCACTTCCAACTGCGCCTGCGGGTGCCCGAGGGGCCGGGGGCACATGAGGAAGTGCTGCCAGGGGACGTCCGCCAGGCTCTGGTGCCTCCACCCGCTCCTGGAGCCCCGTACGAGCTGTCACTTCGTGGGGTCCCTCCTGGGGGCAAGCCCTCTGACCCTGTCATCTACCAAGGCATTATGGGTACATATTTGACTCTGCTCAGATCAATATCCTGAGATTGGGGGAGGAACTGGGGCTATTGGGACTTCAGAGGTAGGATGGATATTGAGGGGCCAGTGAAGGGCAGAGCTGGTGTTTGGGGCTGGATAGAGGAGAAAAGGAGAGAAAAGGAATTGCAGGTTCAGCAGGAAGATGGATCGAGGAGGATCTCAGAACAATGATGAGGATAGGTGGGGAGAGGGGAAAGAGGCAGAGGTAAAAAGGCCAAGAGTGGGACAGAGATTCCAGAAGAGAGGCTGAAGGTCCCTGGCCCTCCACCTGCAGCTTTCCTTGCCCTTTCCCCTGCCCCTACTCTTCAGTTGCTCCTCTGCCCTGCCCTGCCCTGTAGATCTTTCAGGGTGGGCATGGTAAGGCCTCTGGACACTGACTCTTAGCTCCCAGCACCTCATCCCTGAGAGCCTGGTTTGCAGTGGACAGCAGTCCGTGGTCCCATCAGCCAGTTTCTGCTGGGGGTGAAGGCTCCTTGGGGCAGAGGGCTCCACAGCCATCAGGACTTCAGACATGGATGAGGTTTGCAGGACCAGCGAAAGACAGGTCCTGGAGTACCTGGCTTTCACACCCCCTCTTTGTTCCTCTCTGTGAGACCAGGGTGGCTGACTCCTCCCCCAGCTCCAGGTCAAGCTCAGAGAGGGTGGTAAGAGAGAAAGCAGCGCAGGTGGGCAGAGGAGCCTTCAGACTGCTCTGAAGCTGCAGTGGGGAGGCTTGAAACTCTCCTACAGAACCCAGGGGGGACCTGAAACCCCCCCAAAGATCCTGGGTTGCAGAGGGACCAAGACCCTGTGAGGAATGGATAAACTGTCACAAGGGAAGGAGCAGAGATTGAGAGGGAAATGCCTGTCTTCCAGGAGAGCTGGTCACTGAGGGGTGGGGACATAGAGTCTTCCAGGGAGGGAGCTATCAAGGATGGAGTGAGGTGGGCAGGGGAGAGGGAAGGAGACACAGAAAAGAGAACAGTTGAGTCCACTATGCTTTGCTTTTGCCTCCCAAACTCCAGACAAGGATGAGGAGAAGCCTGGGAAGTCCTCAGGCCCACCACGCCTGGGTGAGCTGACGGTGACAGACAGGGCCTCCGACTCCTTGCTCTTGCGCTGGACAGTCCCCGAGGGCGAGTTTGACTCCTTCGTGATCCAGTACAAAGACAGGGACGGGCAGCCCAAGGTGGTGCCCGTGGAGGGGCCCCAGCGCTCAGCTGTCATCACCTCCCTGGATCCTGGCCGCAAGTACAAATTTGTCCTGTATGGGTTCGTTGGCAAGAAGAGGCATGGTCCCCTGGTGACTGAAGCCAAGATCTGTGAGTGACAGCAGCAACACCCTGCCCTCTGTACTGCCCTGAAGGAGGTTTCCTCAGTGCTTTGGGAACCTGCTTTGGGAGGGAGCTCCAGGAAGGCTTCCTGGAGGCAGTGGTGCATGAGCTGAATTCTGAAGGGAAAGTAGTGGTGGGGCAGGCACAGAGTTTGAGAAGCTCAGTGCAGCCTGGGGGAGTCACGATGATCGAGGTGGAGAGAGCATGGCCAGTAAGAGAATCACTGTCACAGTTTCCTCTGGCTGGAGAACAGGGCATGTGGGGGTGCCAAAGGGCCTGGTCTCAGGGCTTCCTATGCTGTACTGAGGGGCTTGGGCCTCATTTGAAGGCCCCTAGAGGGCCTCTGAGGGTAAAGTGGGAGAGTGACGTGACTAGATATTTATCTTGCAAATAGCACGGTGACTGCTGAGACTAGCTGGAGAAGTGAGTTAAGAGCTGGTAAGGGCTGGCAGGGTTGATCCTGCCTATAATCCCAGCACCTTGGGAGGCCAAGGCAGGAGGATAGCTTGAGGCTAGGAGTTTGAGACCAACCTGGCAACATAGTGAGACCCCCCATCTCTACTACGACAAAATATATTAGCCAGGTGTGGTGGTGCGTGCCTGTAGTCCCAGCTCCTTGAGAGACTGAGGTGGGAGGATCGCTTGAGCCCAGGAGACCGAGGCTGCAGTGAGCCATGATTGTGCTACTGTACTCCAGCCTGGGTGCTATCCACACTCTGCACAGAGCAACACCCTGTCTCAACAACAACAACAACAAAAAGACGATGGGTCAGTTGGGATGGTGGCACTGGGGCTGGATGTGGGAGGCAGAAAGCAAGGCGTACCAGGCAGCCCCCAGGGTTCTGGATGAGACAGTCCCATTCCCTGAGGCAGGGAGCAGCAGAGGTGGGGAATAATGCCTTAGATAAACTTAGATCAACATCTAAGGGACACTTACATAAATACCTTTTGTGCATTTATTGAGAGTCGATTGTGATCAAGATGTTCAAAGTGGATCATCGCACTCCATAAAGCACACCTGGGAGGCATACCTACTTTATAGGTCAGGAGATTGAGGCGCCAGAGTAGCAGTGTGGGGTTGGGGAAGAGACAGGGCCACTGGAACCCCGGGGACAGCCTATACTCACAGCGGAGGCAGAGGAAGAAGGGCCCACAGGGTAGCTTGAGGAGTGACTTGCAGGGAGGCGCAGAACCAGGGAGGGTGCTGTCCTGGGCTCCAGGAAGGAGGGCGTGGCTGGACTTGTCAGATTCCAGAACAGTGAATCAAGGGCTACGGAGTGTCCACAGGATTTAGCAATGGCAAGGCCACCACTGGCCTCTGTGAGAGCTACTGCCTGGTGGAGGGGTAAAGCTGGATCGTGAGGGTGGTGGAGGTGAGGACGTGGCTACAATCAGTGTAGACATCACTTTCTGGAATCTGGGCTGGGAATGAGAGCAAAGAGGGAAGATGGAGGCTGGAGAGAGATGCACACAGAATGGGGGTGGGGAGGGGTGTGACAGTAGCTTGTTGAAATGCTGATGGCACAGCTGCTGGGGAGTGAAGGGTCAGTGCTGCAGGTGAGGGAGTCCATCCATGGATCAAAGTTCCAAAGGAGGAAGAGGAGAGGCCTGCAGCATAGATGAGGGAGGCTGTCCCACATTAAAATACTTCAAGGATTGTGCTCTCCTCTCTTGGAGAAGAAGCCAGCTAGTAGTTAGGCTTGGAAGCAGTGGAGGTTGTACTGGGAAGATTTCCCTGGCTATGGAGATGTGAAAGGGCCTGGCTGGGCTCCCCTCTTTCTGAAGGTCCCTGCTGCTCCAGTTTGTGGTTGGAGGCAGAGCCACACTAGTCCATGCAGTGCTTCCATGCCGTTTGGAAGAAGGCACCCGTTCCTTTAAGTGGACACCACTCCTCACCAGGGCACACAGCTCGGCAAGCAGAGTGCTGGCTGGATTTCAGTCCCTTTGTACTCCCTCAGCAAATGCACTTTTGTACAGTGAACAACCTGCACAGCCTCACACAGCATTCCCATGTGGGATTTGGCTTCCTCGTTCTCCTTGGACCTAAGCCCCTCCCTTCTCTCTACCCGCTGTTCCTAGTGCCTCAGAGTGACCCACGTCCAGGGACTCCACCCCGTCTGGGAAACCTGTGGGTGACAGACCCTACCCCAGACTCACTGCACCTCTCCTGGACTGTCCCTGAGGGCCAGTTCGACACCTTCATGGTCCAGTACAGGGACAAGGATGGACGGCCCCAGGTGGTACCTGTGGAAGGGCCTGAGCGTTCATTTGTTGTCTCCTCACTGGACCCTGACCACAAGTACAGATTCACTCTGTTTGGAATCGCGAATAAGAAGCGGTATGGCCCCCTCACGGCCGATGGCACCACTGGTGAGTAACAGCCACCTCAGCCCCCATGTGACCCCTTTTTAGCCCTCTGCACACTTGCCTTCAGCCTGAAACCAGCTGGGGTCCCCCAGGAAGACAGCTGACTCCAGCTTCCTGGCCCCACTCCTGGCCTGAGGGGCAGCCAGACTCCCCCGCACTGCTGGGCCCCTTCCATCCCAAGCAGCAGCTCCCCGAGGCCCAGAAGGTGTGTCATACCCTGGCTGTGTCAGGCTTCCCAGAAGTTTAGCACTCAAATTAATGGACTAGTGACCCTCCACCCCCCGTAGGTGTGACAGCCCGTCCAGACCCCAAGCCCCAGTCTCCCAGGCTGCCAGTTCAGCACCTGGCTGGATCTTCTTGTTTACAGCTCCAGAGAGGAAAGAGGAGCCCCCCCGCCCCGAGTACCTGGAGCAGCCCCTCCTGGGGGAACTGACAGTGACTGGTGTGACCCCAGACTCTTTGCGCCTGTCATGGACGGTGGCCCAGGGCCCCTTCGACTCGTTCATGGTCCAGTACAAAGATGCACAGGGGCAGCCCCAGGCAGTGCCTGTTGCGGGGGATGAGAATGAGGTTACCGTCCCCGGCCTGGATCCCGACCGGAAGTATAAGATGAACCTCTACGGGCTTCGTGGCAGGCAGCGTGTGGGGCCCGAGTCTGTGGTGGCCAAGACTGGTGAGTCATGGCTGCCAGGCCTCCCTCCCCTGCTAGCCCCATCCTGTGAGCAGGACTTGGCTGGGGCTCCTTCCAGCCTCCCTCCACCTTCGCCTTCTCAGCTCATTTTGCCAAAGCCTCCACCCACTTCCTCCCCCACTGCTCTCCTGTCCTCTGCATGCCAGGTCCCCGTCATCCAGCCTCCAGCTCCTCATCTCTTTCTCAGCCTCACTTCTTCATCTCCAAGGGCAGGTCCTATTTTCCCCCATTCCAAGCACCTGGACTCATCCTTCCACCTGGGGCTGTCCTCCCCACAGATGTCCTCACCATTCGGTCACTGTGTTCTCACCCCTCAGTTTTTACTGGGCTCCTTCATGGTCTGGTTTGGGCCATGGTCACTTCTGGGCTTCTGTCACCTGCTGCCCACACCCTCCTGCCATTTCTGCTGTATTCAGAGGTGGCAGATCCAAGTGACAAGAGCACCACATTTCTCTAGCCTTTCTCAGCATGAAGAGGACTCCTCCCAGCTCCCGACTCCTTGACTCCCAACCCGCTTGGAACAGGGCAAAGGGATTGCATTCAGCCCAGCATCCCAGCCTGTTCCTCCATGTCCCCAGTCTTTCCCTGTCTGGTGCCATTCCCCTAGCCTGTGAATTATTTGATGAGAGATAGTGTGGATAGTGGTTAGGAGCAAAGACTCCAGAGCCAACTGCCTGAGTCTCACTACCAGCCTTGCAACTTGCTTCCTGGAGGACCTTGTGCAAATTGCTTAACCTCTCTGTGCCTCAGCTTTCCCTTCTGTCAGGTGGGGATAATGGTTACCACTGCACAGAGCTGTTGGAATTACATGAGTTAATATACATATAACACTTAGGCTAGGCACGGGGCACGGTGGCTCATGCCTGTAATCCCAGCACTTTGGGAGGCCGAGGCAGGTGGATCACGAGATCAGGAGATCGAGACCATCCTGGCTAACATGGTGAAACCCTGTCTCCACTAAAAATATAAAAAATTAGCCAAGCATGGTGGCGGGCACCTGTAGTCCCAGCTACTCAGGAGGATGAGGCAGGAGAATGGCGTGAACCCGGGAGGCGGAGCTTGCAGTGAGCCGAGATGGCACCACTGCACTCCAGCCTGGGCAACAGAGCGACTTCATCTCAAAAAACAAAAACAAAAACAAACCACCCTCACACACTTAGAATAGTGCTTGGAGCAGCAAAGCATTTTCAGAGCGAGCTGCAATTTCTCCCTGACTCTCTCACTTCCCAGTAATCTTTTTTCCTCCCCACTTCCCTCCCTTCCTCTGGGTTGTCATTCTTGCCAATTCTTTCCTCAATCTGCTATCCCAAAGTAGTCCCCCATGTAGCGGGTCACAGAAGGGCTGGCTTCCCTTGTGTCACAGTCTCCCCACACCACGGAGCCTCAGCAGAGACCTAACTGCAGGGGGCGGGTAGGTGCCCACAGGGCTGTGATTCCAGAGCCAGCCAGGGAAGGGCACGGCCCTCCCTGGATCCCACTCACCCAGAATTTTTCTCCCACTCATGCCTGGAGCCCTGCCTTAGCAATTCATTCCTTGGGGTTAAAGGGGAGGGAGGGGCAGGGCTGCCTGGGGAGGCCACAGCAGGAGCACATTCCATAGTCAGAGCCTCATATGAGGGGTGGGGCAGCCACAGTGCCCTGGGGAGGGTGCAGGTAGGAAGAGGCCTCACTGCCCTCCTCACTGTCTGAGGTCAGCACTGTCAGTGAACGTGGTTTGAAAGAACCCTCAGCGGCTTCCTCTCTTCCCATCTCAGCTCCTTTCTCAGACACAAAGGGAGACCCCTCACCCCCACAGAACCCACCAGAGCAGGATGGGGCAAGGGCTGCCTCAGCCCTTTCCATCTGTGAGTGACCCAATGGCGAATACAAAGGCTACAGAGCCCCTGAGCCCACAGCGTGAGGGCGTTTCCATGGCTGTCCTCTGTGGGCAGCTGCAAAGCCAGCAGCTCTTCATGCCTCTGCCTCTTCTCTCAGCTCCTCAGGAGGATGTGGACGAGACCCCCAGCCCCACAGAACTGGGCACAGAGGCCCCAGAGTCCTCTGAGGAGCCGCTCCTGGGGGAGCTGACAGTGACAGGATCCTCCCCTGACTCGCTGAGCCTCTCCTGGACCGTCCCCCAGGGCCGCTTCGACTCCTTCACCGTGCAGTACAAAGACAGGGATGGGCGGCCCCAGGCGGTGCGTGTTGGGGGTGAGGAGAGTGAGGTCACCGTGGGGGGCCTGGAGCCCGGGCACAAGTACAAGATGCACCTGTACGGCCTCCACGAGGGACAGCGCGTGGGCCCAGTGTCTGCCGTGGGCGTGACAGGTGAGTAAGGGGCAGGGGCCTGCTTTGGTTCCCTCCCACTGCTGGCTTCCAGCTTCCCTATACCCAGTTGCTCTCCTTGCTGCAGTGGAACCTTGAGGCCACCTGCCAGGGGAAGACCTAGAAAGAGTATATCACTGGGGACTGGGGTACTACCAGCTTTCATGGCCCTGAGCAAGTTTTAAATTTTCTGCAGGCCGGGCGCGGTGGCTCAAGCCTGTAATCCCAGCACTTTGGGAGGCCGAGACGGGCGGATCACGAGGTCAGGAGATCAAGACCATCCTG